TCACGCAGGGGCGGGTATACTCTCGACCCCATTCCGTAAGCTGCACTTGTCTCAAATTTTTCATACGCCCTCTCTTAAATTTAACTTGCTATCTATTTCACAACTAACCAAAGACAATGACATTTCAATTACCTTTGATCCCTCTGGTTTTGTTTTAAAAGGACCTGAAGACGCACAACACCATCCTTCGCAGACCTTGTAATCGGGGGCTTTACACCATCCCAATCAGGCCCTCCTCGTCTTCACATCAAGCTCTATCTGCGTCCAACTCCTTGCCGCATCCTTGGCACCGTCGTCTTGGACATCCAAACAAGAGAACGCTAGATATGATCTCAAATTGTAATCCTCATCTCAAAATCAATAAACAGTCCTCAATTTGTAGTTCTTGTAATTCCTCGAAATGTCACAAACTCATGTTTGAAAGCTCTCAGAACCGTCAGTCTTCACTGCTCGCTGTCATCCACTCCGACGTGAAGGGACCGGCTCCCATCATATATTCTCAAGGATATAAATTCTACGTTATATTTGTAGACGATTTTTTCGTGCTATACTTGGATGTTTCCAATACGTCACAAATCTGATGTTTTCAATTTTTTTGTTAATTTCAAAAATCAAATTGAAAAATATATTTCACCTCAGAGAAAAACCTTAAGAACTAATGGCGGCTCCGAATATGTTAATCATGCTTTCAAAAATTATCTCAAGACTCGGGGTATTACGCAGCAGTTATCAATCCCCTGCACTTCGGAACAAAATGACCTGGCTGAAAGGAAACATCGGCACATCATTGAAACTAATCGTACCATTCTTCTCACTGCTTCGGTCCCATATATCTACTGGCCTGATGTGGTTCTCACTTCTTTCCATCTCATCAACAGACTTCCTTCTCCTACGACAAACAATCTCTCTCCGTTCGAACTCTTTTACAATTCTAAACCGGACTATAGTCACCTCAAAGTCTTCGGGTGCGAATGTTTTCCTCTTACTCCTCCAAATTCTCGTCACAAACTTCAACCCAAATCTCACTCTTGCGTCTTCTTGGATTACTCAGAGACTTACAAGGGATACAAATGTCTTAATGCTTCAACTAACAAAATCATTCTGTCCAGACATTCTATTTTTAATGAAAATGCTTTTCCTTTCTCAAATATCATATCACCTCCTTCATTCAATTCTGCTGAGACGACTCCTCTTTTATTAACTCCAACTTCTATTACACCCACGATTCCCACTCCTATCTCTCCTTCCATTCACAAGCAACCAAATGAACACCCGTGCACCACTCAGGCCACACAACCTCATAGCAACCATGAATCTCGTAGCAAAACTACCCATGATACGCATATTTCTTACAATTTGCATCTACCATGGTTGGAACGTTCAATAGCTAGATGTGCCGATTACCTTTTTACACGACAACCTATCAGAAACTGTGTACATGATTCAACCGAAGGGCTTCGAAGACAGAATTCGGCCTGGTCACATATGCAGACTACACAAAGCCTTGTATGTCTTGAAACAAGCTCCTAGGCAATGGTATAATACGTTTACATCATTCCTGGTATCTCTCGGCTTCGCTCATAGTAAGGCAAATCCGTCACTATTGATTCTCAGAAAATCAAGTGTTCAAATATACTTACTTATATACGTCAACGACATACTAATCACGGGCACCGACCAAGACAGCATCAAAACAATTCTTAACAAGCTCATCTTTGAGTTCGCTATGAAACACTTAGGCGACGCCAGTGAATTTCTTGGAATAAAGATCACGCGTCATCATAACGAATACTTTCTATCCCAAACAAAATATGCATATCAGATACTTCAACAGGCTGAGCTCACACATTACAACTCTCTTGCAAATCCAACTTGTACAAAACTACCCTCTGAATTCAGCACAGAAAAGCCTCTTGCTGATCCCTCTTTTTACCGCCGCATAACGGGATCCCTCCAATATCTCACGCTAGCTCGCCCGGATATTTCCTACAGCGTCAATCTTCTCTCCCAACACATGCATAATCCGCTTCCTCAACATATCTATCTACTCAAGAGGCTACTCCGTTACATCAAAAGTACGTTAGAATTTGGTATACCCATCACCAAAACTAATCTTGTTCTAAAATCCTTTTCAGATGCGGATTGGACTGGCGATCCACTCACAAGAAGATCCACATCGAACTAACTATTGTTCGTTCTTGGGTGACAAGCTTATATCGTGGACAGTCAAGAAACAACACATCGTCAATAGATCGTCCACAGAAACGGAGTATCGATCATTGGCTGCACTCAACTCGGATATCATTTGGCTCCGACGACTTCTCACCGACTTCGGGATCCAACAAGATTATCCAACCAATCTATACTGTGACAACATGTCTGCCATTGCATTGGCCAACAATCCGATGTTTCACTCTCGCACAAAACATATCGAGATCAATAAAAAATTTCTAAGGGATCACATTCAACAAAACAACATCAGTCTTCTCCCCATCAGTACAACAGACCAAGTGGCCGATATATTCACTAAATCACTATCCACGCCACGATTTCTTCAACTTCGTACCAAATTGACGGTCATCCAAGACTCATCAATTTACAGGGGCATATTAGAGCAGCACAACACATCTCAACAGAAGTTATAACATTCGCTTGTGTATCTGTATGTGCAGCTAAACCTGTACCGGTCTAATGTATTATGCGGCCTTCTCTTCTCCTCTATATAAGAGACCCATTCTCTGTTATAAAGATCAATACAAATTACTCTCTTCTATTCTTTATCTTATTCGTCTCTCTATTTCTACAGTGAATAGTAAAAATTCAGCTCAGTGTGCTTTTTCTGTTCATGCTGTGTTTATAATGTTCATAGAGATAAAATGAAATGATTTTTCTCGTCCGATATCTGCACAGAATAATCTCTCCATCATTTGATGGCAAAATATTGTTGCCGGCCAGGTGAATACTCCAAGGAAAACGACAAGTTTGATTTAAATAAATAAAATCTTCATATGGAGACGTGATGACTTATTTTCTCTAATATAGTTGTTTTTTACCTTTTTTTTAATAAAAACTGGCGATTGTTTTTTTGGATTCTTGTTATTGGATAATTAGATTATCATATGAAACAATTGCCGGTGATAATTTGCATCATTCAAATTATTTTTAATTATAAAGTTATCAATTAAGATTTTTGATTGAGCAGGTCTAAAACTGAATACATGAAGTAAAATTTTAGTAATAATAGGTCTAGTGGGGGATTGTGACTTTGGGCGATCAAGTTATTAGAAAGAGTACACATTTAAGATATCTTAATTCTATTGTTCAAAGTGATGGTAAAATAGAAGAGGATATTATTAGTAAAATTCAAATTGGATGGTTGAAGTGAACGAATATATCGAGCTCTTTGTATAATTGAAAAATAAGATGATGGTGTGATATGCAATGCTTTAAGGCACAAAATGTTGGCTGCTAAAATAGAAGCATAAAATTAAGTGATGTAGATGAGAATGCTCAGGTGGATAAGTGGATTTGTACTTAAGAGACAAAATGCGAAATAAGTATATACGTGAAAAAGTTTGAGAAGCTCAAGTGGCAGACAAGATTAGAGCGAGCCGACTTAGATAGTTTGGTCACATAAAATGTCAGTCTTTCGATGACACGATCATGTGAGTATATGTATTAGATATAGCCTATGTTAAGAAATATAAAGGTATACCTAAAAAAATTTGGTTGGAAAGTATTAGAAATTATATTTTCTTATCAAATTTAAATGAGAATTAGACTCTTAATTGGATATAATGAAGTAAAAAAGATTCATATAAGTGACCCCACATAGTGGGATAAAGGCTTGATATTGATGTTTATGTTGCGTAAAATTATCACTTAAATTTATATTTTTACCATTTAAGCTAGTAATATTACTTATTGAGCTAGGTTTAATCTAGCTACCTAAAAACAAATGGTTTGAGCTTTACAATTTGATACGTCTAAAATAATTTCACTTGATTTTACAAATGGTATACCACATAAGTAAAGTTAAATACTCCGAAGCATTGGATGAATGATGACATGATCTTCAAAATTTGCATGCTTATAGTTAAATCGCATGGCTTGACGAGACAAATTCGGTAAGCCTAAGACCACCGCATGTTAATTAAAAATGGTGATTATTTTGAACAAAATATTATTTGTTAATTAATTTTATTAATTTGCACTAGCTTATTTTACTTTTAAATACCTTATTTTTTTGCTCATGTGTAGCTTTGGATGTAGCCTTGTATGTTACTAGTTTCTTGTTTTCCTATTATATTTGCAGGTGGGACCTCGGTTGTAAAAGTTATTACATGCTGAATCTGGACCATAATTTTACTTGTACAAAAGAGAGAAAATCAATGTGACTGTAGGACGAAAAATTAAGTCCAAATTCCGCACTCTGCACGTAATAATCTCTCCTTCGGTTGGGGGATCATGCAAATCGAACGAAACAGAAGAGCGAAGCAAGCCGTGCAGAACCATGAGCAAAAGGGTTCTTGCGAACCTGGGACCGAGAAGCAGAGTTAGGCATGCAAAACCAGGGAGATGTAAGGCTTCTTCTTCATAAAACCAAGAGGGGAAAGACTTGCAAATAAAGAAGAAGATGCGTGTGTATTCTATTGCACGTTTGAAGCTTCTCAAGGCATTTCGACAAATATAAGAAGCCCTGTGGAAGCTTGAATGTAAAACCTGGCAAATGAAGATACCCGCACATGTAGAACTATTCCAACAAAAGCACATACAAGCTTTTATTAAAAACAAAAATAGCTTATTCAAGCTCTTATTCATCACAATTACCACACTTCAAAATTTAACTTAAGCTTCATTTGGGATGGTTTTTTTACTGTTTCTTAAAGCAACTTTCTAGTATAAAATTTTTTGTACTAAAAAGCTGTTTTAAGAAACAGGAAGAAAGCCGTCCTAATCGAATCCTAAACCCCATATCTTTCCCAGAGGACATATATAGCTCAATAACTAGTCTTTACTGGCTCAGTTGTTAGCCCAAAACCAAATGGATATAGAGGGTCATAATGATCATCACCAACGTTCATTGGTAGCTGATCAACTGACTTGAACCATGTCCTAGGAAGCTTGCCAGTGAACCCATAGTCCCCGAATAAGACATCGGTGACGCCGTGACCTTCAGTTCCAGGCAACCAGGCAGCCACAATGGCATCAATCATATTAACATAAGGTTCAATGACAACAGGCCTGCCAGATATGACAACCACCACACACTTAATATGCTCACACACATTCTTGATGGTGCTTGGTCCGGGCTCGGCAATGGTGAGGTTCAAGCTATCACCAAAAGTCTCTGAATAAGAATGCTCACCAATGGCAACAATTGCGTAAGAGAAATCATTGCCTTGGATGAAATATGTATCAGGGTTCTCTGAAAAGACAACTTCTGTGCTTGGGTCTACGGTTGTTTTTATAGCATCAAGCAAGGTAGTTCCTATTTCAATGGACAGATTGACGAGAATCTATTAATGTTTGCTTTTAATGAGAATGCAATGATTCATAATGTGCTTCTCTTGGTCATTTCATAAGTTTTAAGTTTCGTTTGGAACGATTTTCTTACTGCTTCTTAAAGCAGCTTTTTAGTACAAAAGCATCTTTCTAGTACAATTGTACTAAAAAGCTGCTTTAAGAAGCAGTAAGAAAGCCGTCCCAACAAAGCCTTAGTCTAATCCAATTATATAATGAAAATGTGGATCATATGAAATATGATGATTAAGAGATAAAGAGAGTTTACCAATTGTAAGATTGTTCCCACCTAGTCCTTGCCACTCGATTGTCCAACCTCCACACTGATAACCCAAGTTATCAGCATTGCTACCAGCAACAAGTATTTTCTTTGCCTTCTTAGGGAGTGGTAGGACTGGTTCGTCAGAAGTTTTACCATTTTTTAGCAGAACCAGTGATTTCCTCACAGCTTCTCTTGCTAAATCCCTGTGCTCCTATTCGCAATTAACATATTAGGCCTACTAAACAAAGTTTCTTTCTAAAATTTAAAAGCAGGTGTACTATAAAGTATTTATAGTATTGATATCATATTTACAAACATAAAGAAATTGCCAAACCTGCTTCCCAATTTCATTGGCTAAGCTATAATCTCCATAGGGGTTCTCGAAGAGACCCATTGTGAACTTGACCCGAAGAATCCTCCTAACGGCATCATTGATTCTACTCATTGGAATTACATTTTTATGTACTAGTTCAAGGAAGCTCTCAAAGTAGCGAGGATAGTCATAGGGAATCATTATCTGCAACATTAATAAAGATAAATGAGTTAAAATAGTTGTGATGATTAAAAATTGTAAGTTCATTTAAGTTTTGTTTGTGACAACTTTTTTACTGCTTCTTTAAACAACTTTTTAGTACAAAAATTAAAATAAAAAAGCTATCCCAAACGAAGCCTCAGTATTATTCACTGCATATATATAAATTGTGATAGCTTAATGTGTTTAGATATCTTAAAAATGTAAAAATACAATCATATTAGAAAATTTTAATTACCATATCAATGCCTGCTAGAATTCCAGTCTGGAGAGAGAATGTATAATTGATACCAGGAGGCGTTGTAATCCTATCAACACCTTCATAATCCGAAATTATAAAACCCTGTTCATACATATAGATATGTTAATCTATCATCTAAATTCATAACAATCTTTGCAAAAAAAAGAAACTCGAATATTGATAGTATTTTGGGTGATGAACATTTTGCTATTCACTAACCCTGAAACGGAGCTTATTTTTGAGGAAATCTGTGAGTAAGAAATGATTTGCATGCATTTTTACACCATTCCAACTTGAGTAAGAGACCATCACAGTAGAGACACCTTTGATAATAGCATTGTAATAAGGAGGCATGTGGATGCTAAGTAGCTCATGGAAATTGGTGATTGTGTTATTTTCATTAATGCCCATGTATGTTCCACCATCACCAACATAATGCTTGGCACAAGCAGCAATTTTTCTCCTATTTTTAATCAAATTGAAATATCCATCAAGTGCTGAATGCTATATAAACCAAACTAGTATGTTGTAATTAAAGCTTTCTTGATTCAAAGATCGACGATCAGATACAAGAGGGTTACTATAGAGAAAGTCTTACTTGCCAGCTACAAAGGGAACTCCTTTGAGAGAATTTTTTGGAATATCTCCTTGCAAGCCTGGGATGATCTCAGTCATCTCTTGGACAACCTTTGGATCTTCACTAAAGCTTTCATAGCAACGACCCCATCTAGGATCTCTACATACCTGAATAAGTTCAAGCAAAATACAGGAAATGAATGTTCAATAAAATAATACACGGAGTCTCAGAAGAAATATCAGATTTTTTTTTTTTAATGAATACCGCAATGCATGGAGAAAAAGTATAGGGAATGCCGGTTGCTCTAACTTCAAGAGCCGTTGCAGCACCAATTTTTTTCACTAGGGCTGGATCCCTGGAAAGAAAGACCTACCATTTGAGAACCAAATCTTCAATTTTAAGTGTATACTGTATACTTTTAGTAAGAAAAAATGATACTGATCAGTCTATATGTAGTACTGGAAGATCAAATGATGCATGAGCATGATATGTTAATGAATATTACACTCCTAAGGTTTCATTTGGGATGGCTTTCTTACAGCTTCTTAAAACAGCTTTTTAGTATAAAAATTAAAAAGTTACTGTAAGAAGCAGTAAAAAAGTTGTCCCAAACGAAGCCTATGTTGTAGTCATATGGATGACTAAATCACTTATGAACTTGAAGTTGGGTGAGCAAATGTACAAGTCCTTGAGGAGTACATGGAAAATTCATGCACCCGATGCTAGAAACACTTTCAAGCAACTGTCTTTTATCAAAAGCATAAGAGAGATAATAAATATATGTAATAGCTAAAACTCTAAACCATTAAAATTTTATCCGTTTTGTCCTAATGGCCCCCCGGCTTTATTTTTTGGTGTAACTTCATAGCTAATTATCTTGTATGTTACTTAATTCATCTTCCGACCGATATATTACTCTGATACCATTTCTAATGGCAGAAACTCTCAATCATTGAGTTAATGTCCACTTTGACTCAATAGCCTCACTATTTTGTCATCCTAGGGTAATATCTCAAAAGTGCTTTTATACAAGCACTATTAATTTTAGAGTTTCTAATAAAATTTCAATTGTTGTATTAAAATGTATCACGATATTTAAGAGTTTAACTTTACTCTATTTAAGGGGTTTCACATTTTAAACCTAGTAATTGAAGTACCGTGGAGGTAGGGATCAATTATTGGTGGTCTCACATGGGCTTAAATCCATCCCCCCTAATGGTATTATAAGCATAAAGATTCTTAAGGAACCATGCCATCTTTCTAGATTATTTCATCATATATATTTAGGTTTATTTATTAAGTATAACATTATTTTAAGATAATATAGCCTTACACTCATATTATTTTTAAACACAAAAAACGGGAAGAAAACTTTGTGCTAAAAAACGTTTGTGAAAAATATTTTTCCTATTTTTTTTAGTGCAACCTAAAAAAATGTTGCCCTATTTATTATTCATTGAGATTTATATTCTTATTTTATAAATAGAAAATTTTGATTTTTTGAAATAATATGTCTATATGTTTCATGATAACTGCTAGACAATAAATAGTTTCGTTGTCTGAAAAGAAAACATTTTTAAATTTATTTAAATTATTATTGATCCATACAGAATCTGACAAATTCATATAAAAATAACTATTCTGTACGATGCTTTCAAGCATCTAATTAAAATATTTTAAAGGTACTTTGACTAATTGTTTTGTTCCATAAATCAGTTTAACGAATGATTAAGGCTTCATTTTGGGCGGCTATCTTTCCTAAAATAAATTTTTAGTACAAAAAATTTTAGTTTAAAATATTTTTTACTAAAAATTTACTTTTAAAAACAGTTAAAAAACTATCCTAAATGAAACCTAAGACTTAGTTTAATTAGGCTTTCATGTTAAAGCAGTTTTTTAGTACAAAAATTTTAATTTTGTGCTAGAAAACTACTTTAAGAAGTAATAAGAAAACTATTCCAAACGAAGCCTAAGGCAATAGTACCCCACCGAACTTAGCTGGGTTGATGGGCGAGCATGACTGAGAATCCCATGGGTGAACCCCCCAAATCATGTTCAAATCTCCTCTCATGTTGTGCGACCCCTTAGTGGGGAGAAAATAATTACGGGTCCCGCACCTGTGGGGCTGGTTGCTGGTAGGCTCGTCTAGGGATTAGTTATGCCCGGAAGCGCCTCCTAACAGGGTGACAGTGGATAGATACCCCCGTTCCAAAAAAAAAGCCTAAGGTAGTTTTTTTAGTAAAAAAATTTGATTTTTTAACTATAAATTTTTTTTAGAAAGCTAAAAAAGCTATCCCATTTAAAACAATAAATTTAAAAAATAATACCTTTTTAAGTTAGAAATGACCATAATACATAGTAGTTTCTAACCTGGTAGCTCCAAGTCCAATATTATGTGGAAATATTGTAGCTTTATAGACTGTGCCGTGGCCATGAACTGCATCAATACCATATATTACTGGAATACCAAGTCTGCTAGAGAGAGCTGCCTTCTGTATCTCATTCACCATATCCACCCAAACTCTTGCAGATGCATTAGGAGCAGGAGCACTGCCCCCTTCACTCAATACACTACCTTCATTAATAAAAAAAAAAGCATCGAACAAATTTAATTTCCGCACCTGTAATTCATCTCTTCAAGAACTTTGATTCAATTATGTTACCTATAAAATAGTTTTTGACCACTTCAAAAGAGGCATTTTTTCTCTCGATCTGAGCCATTTGGCCAATCTTCTCAGCAAGTGTCATTCTGCTTAAAAGGTCATCTATTCTAACAATCAATGGCTGCTTTGGATCTTTGTACTTGAAATATTCTGCTCCCGCAGCAGCAATCGAACAAGTTAAGACTAGCAGAACAAATACAAATCTTGGGGTGGGATTTGTCTCCATCTTCAGATAATATCAAATCCTGCGCCCATTGACGAAAGGAAATAATGAGATGCAAGGAACATTCCTATTCTAAGAAATCAAAGCACAGGAGCAAGTGAAAATAGTAAAAAAGAAGAATGCTGAGCTTCTTCATGAGCAAACAAGTGAACTAATCAGCTCAAAATAAGATTTTGCAGGAATTGATGAGAAGGGAAGAGAGATCTCACCCGGTTCAGAGAACAGGGAGGGAGAAGGGGTTTGAGGAACTCTGTGCGAGCTGTGGGACTTAAAACGGGGTAAGGGAGTAGAGAAGATATGTCCCGTTGCTGTCTGCTGTTGTCGTGTATCCCACGAAGCAGCCAGCATATTGAGAAGATAGCTGTACGCGGGACCTCTTTTGACCTAATGATTAGGATTATATTAATATTTAATACTAATGATTAGGATTATATTTTATATTATTATTTTTTTAATTTTTTTTGTTGTCGTTACTTTAATTTGAAAGAAATACAAAACAGTTTGAGGGAGGGAATTTTTTTTTTATATATATAAATATTTGAAAATCACAAATCCTCTCTATTGTGTGGCATATTGCTCACCTAGTAGCTTAACTTGCGCCCCTCTCTCATATGTACTAGAAAGCTACTTAATTAAGAAGTAGTTAGAAAGCCATCTTAAACGAAGGCTTAATCAAATATGACAAGTCAGTATACATACCATGAAATCAAACACATCTCCATACGTTGGAATAAGTTAAGCTAATGATCTCATTCATTATCTTCATCTTATATATATTATACAAGGCTTTTAAAATTGGATCGGACCGGTCGATTCAACTGGTTGAACCTCAAACCGATTGGCCGGCCGGTTGCGGTTCACATTAAATCCGGTTTCGCACAAAACCGGTATTGAACCGCTCGAACCGACGGTTCAACCGTCGAACCGCTAAACTGGTCCCGATTTTCTATAATCGACCAGTTCAATTACAATGTCATTCAACATATATCCGACAGCTTAGATTAAGGAAGGCGAAGCGATGGAGAAAAAAAAAACCTCTATTTCATTCGGACATATCACGTTCTTAGGTTCTTCCTGTTAATTTAATTGTATCAGGCGGTTAAAAGTCTACATGAGTAAACACATTATTAAAGAAGGAATTCATTACTGTTCCATGATGTAGATAATGCCTTGCATGACTTAAACCTCTAAATAGTTTATAAACGTTAATGAACAATGGCAGCAAGTGTAAACTAGCTGTTTAGGTACATAATTAAGCATTATCTGCATTTTTTATTACTAATTATGTCAACTTAGTGTGAAAAAAAAAAATTTTTTATGTCAAGATATGCATCATATATTGAATTCTTATGGTATTTTTTTGCTGTAAAGACAAATATGGTTAGCAAGATTATGTACATACTTTCTTAAATTGATTACAATGATTTCTCTTATGTTATAAGCATTGTGGAAGTTTTAAAAGATCTTATTTCTTCTACAAACAAGAATATGCTAAATATATGGTCTAAGTCTCAAATGATATAAAATTTCATCTATACAAATTGCTGTTATACATTGAATTGAGATATGCATTCGTTCCCTAATGTAATGTGATAATAAAAAATTAGCTAATTTGGCCATCCTGTGCGGGAACCAGGAGCTGCGGGATGGTTGGATCACCTTGTGTGAGAACCTGGAGCCACAAGGTGTGTCGTTTCAGTTTTGTGACTTTAAATTGTGTGTTTAAGTTTAAGTGTTGAATTTGATATTAAGTTTCATTGATAACTACATTCAATTCTATTAATTTTTTTTTGTCTTGCATAGTTTGCTCATATCTACTATTTCTACCTTGTATAGTTAGTAGTTGGTGAAGTTTGTTTTAATTAACTTGTGATATTATTTGTGGATTTATGGGTTTTAATTTATGTGTATGTGATATTATTTAGTTAATCTAATTAGAATTGAAGCACCCAATAATCAGACTTCAGCTTCCAGTCATATAGTGTGTGAAAATGTGAATATTGCTTGTAATCATTTCTAAGTTAGAGGAGCTGGTGGGAAGAAACAATTCAAATGTTTACATTATGACATTGTATACAATGAAGGATAAATTAATAAAATGATATAACATTTAGTAGGAGTAACGGGGAATATAACTGCTTGTAAGATGGTTCCATATGTTTGATATCAAATGCATAAAAAATTGAAGAAAATTTCAAGAAACAAATAACAAGCACAAGAGTTAGATAGTACAATGTTTCCTGTGAATGATGCAGTAGAAGAATAAAGATATTTTTCTTCTCTATCTAAAACACAATCTTCTAAAACACATATATCAGAATTAGGTAAAGGAAAAAAGAGAAGCTGTTGACATGGGCGGATCCACCCATGGCTTAGGGTGGGCATTTCCCTCAAAAAAAATTTTTAAAATATTTAGAGGGGAGATTTTGAAATATTTTGGGTATTTTGGGCATTTTGCCCCCCCTAAAAATTTTTTTTTTTTGCCCCCCCTAAAAATTTTTTTTTGCCATACTTTTATCAATCCTAAGCATATTTGTCCATCCCTCACAATTTTTTTTTTTTGCCCACCCTAAATAAAGAAGCTGGATCCGCCCCTGGCTGTTGATGTTGATACTTTCTTTGCCCCTAGGACTAAATTAGGTTCAATAATTGAAAATAAAGGCATTCGTTCTAAGTCTATAATCGCAATGAATGAAGTCACATTATTCTGTGTTGGATTAGAAAGCTTTGCAAAATCAATTGTATTGACGACGATGAAAGAAATGCAACATGGTAATTCTCTTTTTAATGTCAACATGTTTATATATTTATATAAATATGTGTACTCACTAAGCTCTCTAACTTAAAAATATGCAGATGAGTGATAGAAGATTTTTGGATAAAGTGCTCAAAACTTGTAAAAAGTAGCTATAAGAATTCTAAGCCAAACATCATCTTCAGTAAAATGTGAGAGAGAAATTGGAGTGTTTTTGGAATAGATCCACTCAAAGAAATGGAATTATTTGGAGCATCAACGACTCAAATATCTTGTATATGTTCGTTATAATCTAAATTTAAAGAATATGTGTAATTTTATAATATATTAATATTTATGTACAAGTATCAACTTAAATACTATGTACAATCTTAACATAAAGTTATTTCTTCATTTTGAAGATTTTAATTTAAAAAAAGACATTATTATCATCTGGACTACACTTGTGTTGAAAAAAAAAAGCTAAATCATCAATTTCTTTTTTGCCACTATTTTTTCACTAGATTCAAAAAAAAAAAAAAAAAAAAAAAAATTGTACTAGAAAGTTGTTTTCTATAATAACTTCAAAATTTTATGTTATATACATTCACTTTATAAAACAATTAAAAAGCTGTTCCAAATAAAATCTAATTGAGATGAATACAATACATAAATAATTTATAATGTATTTATCTCAAAAAAGATTCCATTCAATAGATGCAAAGCCCATCTTTGTTTGTTTTTGAGGATGAGTGCTCGAATTCGGCACATTAAGATTCAAAAATCTTTTTTGAATCAATGTGGCATTGTGCTCTACATTAGAGCGCATGTAAGGCTTCGTTTGGGACGGCTTTTTTCTTGCTTTTTAAAATACTTTTTTAGTACAATTGTTTTTTGAATTTGGTAAAAGCCCAATAACATTAGACTTAGTGGTCGTTCACCCAAATAAAATTCTATTTTTTTTTAAAAAAAGTTTCGAAGGATACGTTAAATTCTTATTGATTTGTCATTAACGTTTACTTGGCCAAAAGTTGATTGCAAGTTGGCTTCTTAAAGAAAGTTTGACGCAATTGAGCGTTCTCTTATATTGTCACTGCGTTGATTTAATCTATTTTGATTGTGAGGGGAAATAAGAGAACAGAGGATAAGACGAGAAACTCAAATTTTGAGCCATCATGAAAGCAAAGATAATGGTTTGGATCAAACATTGTTTAAGTCATAGGATCTGCTTCGGATAGCTTTCTGACTACTTTACTTCTTAAATATCAATTAAAACTTCATTTGGTTATTACTTTTACATTGTTTTTCAGAAAGTTTGATGGTGAAAAATTGCTTTCTGAAACCCCAATAACAAAGTTGCTTTATTCATAGCAATTTCATAGCCACCTCAAACATATCCTTAGTAAATGGAAGCCGAGTTGATTCTTTAGTTGAAATTGAGTGGTTTATACTTCTTGTGTCTTGCATGAATTTTACTCGGAATTTTATTGAGGTGCATAATTCAGAAGTGAGTGACTCCAATATTGTCCTTATATGATTGAGTAGAACTCTTAATGCACGAAATCATGTGAAATTGTAAAGCTTCTATTTGAGAGAGTGATGTCCTTTTTGAAGGACCCTCACGTGAGGATGAATTATTATGTGCAGATGTCGAATGTCGTTCAGAGTCTAATAAAAATGCGTCACGCACCCCCTACTTGGTACCGCGGCTCGGTACTGGATGATGTGGTTGCACCTGATTCATCTCTGGACGATAAGTTGTGTTCGGTGTCCGCATAGAATAATCTCTCCACGTGAGAGAAGAGATTGCTGAGATATGAGATTTTGGGTTTAATTCCACATTGGGATGGTTAAAAATAATATTTACGGAAAGTATTGAAGTAGCTAGCTCTTATTTATAAACTTAATTTTTTAGGCTTAAAACATATTTGCTACTAATGTATCACTAATGTACGCAACTAAAGTTTCGTTTGAGATGACTTTTTTAATGTTTTCTAAAACAGTTTTTAAGTACAAAAAATTATTAAACTAAAAAAATTTATAATAAAAAGCTGCTTCAGAAAGTAGTAGGAAAGTCGTCCTTCATTTGAGAAGACTTTCTTGCTGCTTCATAAAGTAGCTTTCTAGTATAAAAATTTGAAATTTTTGTGCTAGAAAGCTATTTTCAGAAGAAGAAAAAAAGTCGTCCAAAATGAAACATAAGGTTTCGTTTAAAACAGATTTTGACCACTATTTTTTTCTGCTTAATAAAAAGCTGTTTAGAAAGTAGTAAGAAAATTGTACCAAATAAAGCCTAAAATTTTATTATATGGAGATAAAAACCTGTTAATACGTTAACTCTCATGGCTCTTCTTTTTTTCAAATACGTTAAATACGTTAACTCTCATGGCTTGGTCTCAATGGATACATAGGGATTAGTGAACATTGTAATTTTTTTCAAGAAACTTTCATTGGTTAATTTTTATATCAATAAATAATTCAAGTTGTCTAAGGGTTCATTATTTGAATATATTTTTTTATGCTTCATAAATTAACTTTTAAGTATGTTGCGGGCTAGAATATGCACAACGATAGAGTTAAAATCCTACATCTTAGCGTTTGCACGGA